TAATGATAATATTATAATCCAAAATAATATCAAATGGAGAGCAGGTGATATCCCTCAATTGGACACAAAATATACTAATACCCCTTCAACCAATATATTAAGTCCATATCAATACTTTAAATTATTTATTTCAAATAATATTCTAAATGATATATGCAAACAAAGTAATTTATACAGTTTTCAGCAAATAAATCAATCGCTAAATCTTGATATAAATGAATTAGAACAATTCTTAGGCATATACCTTTTATCTTCTTTAGTTAAAGTTCCTTCATATAGACAATATTGGTCTACGGAATTGGCGTTCCCTCAGGTTACGGAAACTATGTCTCGTACCAGGTTTCAAATATTGCGAAAATATTTACATTTAAACGATAATTCTCAACTTATCCAAAGAAATCAAGATGGATATGATAAATGTTTTAAAATTAGACCCTTTATTTCAGGGATTCAAAACAATATGCGAAAATTGGGGATGGAGGAAAGAATATGTGTTGATGAAATAATCATCCCGTTCAAAGGGTGGAGTCCTTTAAAACAATATATAAAATCGAAGCCTCATAAATGGGGTATCAAAGTTTTTACATTAGCCGGATCCTCTGGTATTGTATATGATTTTAAGATTTATGCGGGAAAGCAAACTAATCCAACACCATCAGAATTAGGGATAAGTGGTGATATAGTCCTCCAATTGGCTAAAAATATCCCGAAATTTTAAAATCATAAACTCTTTTGTGATAACTACTTTTCTTGAATAGCATTGGCTAAGAAATTAAAAGAAATCGGTATATTTATGGTAGGGACTATTAGAAGCAATCGGATGAAAGATTGCAAGTTAAAATGTGATAGAGATTTAAAAAAAGAAGGTCGCGGGAGCTATGTATGTAAAGTTGATCAAAAAGATAATATAATAATTGTCAAATGGTATGATAATAAGTTTGTGCACGTCATCTCATCCTTTGTCGGTGTTCAACCGTTAGTAAATGTAAAAAGATGGTCACTAAGTAGCAGAAATATATTGAAGTGCCAAGACCAAATATATTAAAAATATATAATGAAGGTATGGGAGGAGTCGATTTACATGATATGCTTGTTGAATGCTATAGAGTCGATATTAAAGGTAAAAGGTTCTACCTGAGAATCATTTTTCATCTTATTGATATGTGTGTAGTAAATGCATGGCTTTTGTATAGGCGACAAATATGCCATGAAAAAGAGAATAAATTCATGAAACTTATCACATTTAAAACACATATTGTTAAAGCATTGTTATCGGTAGGCAAAATTAGTAAAAGAAAATCAGGGAAACCTTTGAATGAACCGATAAAGAAAAAAAATTTTATAATAGCTCCTATATCTGATATCAGATATGACAACATTGGTAAGATGCAAGTTATGCATAAATGCATACTCCAGAACAAAATGTGCAAAGTGTAATATATATTTATGTTTTAATCAATATAGAAATTGTTTTCGAGATTTAAATAGATATTTGTATTTTTTTGTGTTACAATATGCCTGATGATGTCAAATTGCATCGTCATTTTTTTTCTCTGTATATTTAAAAATAAAAGTTGGAAATAATTTTGGGCATCTATGGAGTGTATAAATAAATAATTTATAGAAAAGAATTTTTTTTTTTAATTATTAAAAAGTTGGGCGTCAAAGGGTTAATACAGAATTCAAAATATTATACAAGGAATGAAATTGAATGATTATTTAATTTAAAATCATTATCAATATATTGAATTGTTATTCCCATAAAGAGTATTTTATTTAGAGAGGATGATATGTCCATTGTTAAGGAAAATTTAGATAAGTGAAGATTTTAGATTATTTAAAGAGCTATGATAAGGTAAAATTTCCAGATTTTTGCAGTATTTCGTCTTTTATTTTAACACTATTTGGTCTTCATTCATTATTATACCCTAAATAAATAGACAAAAAATTTTGAAAAATGATTTCACGGAAAAAATGGCTTTTTATTTATTTTTAATATATTTTTATATTTCTTGAACCCTAAATTTCTAAAAAGGGTCCAGAAAAAACACGAGGGTTAGAATTCACATCCTTGAAAAAATTTGATTCTCAAACTTTTGAAAATTTATAGAAAAGAAATGAGGTTTTTTTTTTTAAAATTAAAAACATGTCAAAAATATAATTCAACTTAGAATTGTTTAAAAAAAAAATTTGGACACGGCCTTAAATAAAAAATTCTTATTTTATAAAAACAATAACTAAATAAAATTGCTAATAATTGCAATTGTAATGCAGAAAATGTATTAAAAATATCATTTAGCTCAATAAATTTTGATGTGAAGAAATTGCTAAAAGGAAGACCAAAACCAATTTTAGAAAACGTGAAAAAAGAAATCAAAACTTGCATTATTAATTTTTCTATCGATAAATATAAAAATTATAAGTTGGCTACTGGATGAATTTTTTAATTTCTCTATATTGTTGGTCATGCCTATTATTCCCAAAGGAAAAATATGTTTAGAATGATAAAGGTTTTTCGGATTGGAAAATATATTCGAAGCCCTTAAACGGCATGAATAATCAACTCATTTGCAGTCGATGATTCAATAAAAACATCTGGAAAAAATTGAATTAAAAATGTGATAGATTTGATGAGCAATATATCAATCGAAGAGCATAATTCGAAAGTCAAATCAAAATATTAATAAACTTTTATGTTTTCTTGAGATTCAATAGCTAGCATATCATGTTCATGATGAATCTTCTAATTCAGTAAATAGAGGCAATTATATTGAATTAATTTATTTGCTCATAGAAGAAAAATTATTATTAAACATCATTTAGAACAGTACAGTATTTATTAGATTATCAAGCGATATTCAAAATGATTCACTTCAAAGAATATTAAATGAATTGGAAGAAACTGAATTTATATCAATAATAATTGATGAAAAACTGATATAACCAATAAATCCCAACTGGCTGTTGTTCTTTGATATGTTTTAGATAATGGAACACTAGATCTCCATTAGGTAAAGACGAGTCCTTTATCAAGTTCTTTGCCGATATTTTACGAGAGATATCCCTTATTAACCAAGCTTTCTTCTTATTAAAGAACTACCTTTTAATTCCAAAAATTTTATATACAATCCGATCGTCACGGATCTTTCAATATGACGTCAACCTCGCTGCACACGAATTGGAGATTAAACGCCTCACAGAAGATATACTCAATTTTAAATTTGGAGAATTATGGTTACAGGCTACCTTACCAACCAAATCCGGCGGCATTGGCATAAGATTACCTTCACTACTTTCAGTTAGTGCGTTCAAATCATCTGTCCTGCGAGCCTATCATACAAACACTCACCAAACATCCTGACCCCTTACTCCTATAGGAAATTGATCTATGGAAGTCCCTCTCATTAGTCGATCCTCCATCGTCGGCACTACAGAAGGATTTGGATAAACCTCTAGTTGGCAAACCCGTTGCATTCCTTAAATCGAGGAGCCAACCAGAGGACCATTCTTTACTCTTCTCCATTTCCGCAGGTAGTGGATACGAATTTCTTGAGGCTTTCCATCGCGAAACCTTGACCAGCTCCTAAGCAATGACGAACTACGTCACGCCATAGGTCTTAGACTTAATTGCGATATGGTAATGCCTTATCACTGTATCCTTTGTCACGTCGGTCAACTCCAAAGGCCGTCACTCTCTACACTGCAAGCGCTGTAGAGGCAGATTCATTAGGCATTCAAAATGCAATGATACCATTGCCAGGGCCTTAAAATCCGCCGGCATCTTATCAACCCTCGAACCTAGTGGCCTTTACAATTCTGATGGTAAGCGGCCCGATGGTTCGACTATGATCCCTTGGAAGAGGGGGAATTCCTAACTTGGGATTTCTCATGCATCGATTCTCTTGCCCCTTCCAATATAAATAGAGATGCCATATTAGATGCCGAGGCGAATAAACTAGCTAAATATTCGCCATATCTTAACGCCTATTATACATTCCTACCATTAATCGCCACTACTCTAACGTCGTTCAGCTTTCATGCCCTAAACTTCTTTAAAGAGCTGGGAAAACGGATCTCTGCTAGGACCGAGGATCACAACGAGGGATTCTACCTACGCCAACGATTAGCTATAAACATAGTAAAATACAATTATCTCAGCTTTATTTTTCAATATCCGAAACCCCCTAATTGAACATTATGCCTAGGATAGACTTTGGCCATTTTGCTGCCTATTATAATGTTATTGCTAAAAGGGAACTTGAATCTCAATCAATAAAAAAATAGCAAGAATTAATAACTTTATATAATTGTGAAATATTATATTTTTTTACTATTATTATAACTTACCTTGTAATAACATATTATTATAATATATATATAGATATATATGATGCAAATAAAATTACCGAATTTCAATAAAAAAAAATAAAAAAATAAATATGAATTTTAAAAAATAATTTTGTAGAGCAGAATATACCGTGTACATAAAATCTTGAATTGACAAGAAATTTGAATGGCATATTCCAAGCTAATGTTTAGGCTAAGATTAAAAAAAAATGCACTGGGGACAAAATATAACCCATATTTTGGAGTACCAACTTTGTATGATAATATAAAAACTAACCCATAAAAATTAATTTTTTTCCTTTTCCATAATGCCTTAAAAAATTTTTTGATAAAAAATAAACAATTGGTCATTGTATTCCATTTCAAAATAATATATTGCAAAAATACACCACATTCACATTAAATTTACATTCTCAGGTGTTCTTATGAGTTTATTAAAAAAAATATATAAAATTTCAAAAGATAGTATTTAGAATTATTTATAAATAATAAATATTTCCATAACACTTAAATATAATACTTTATATCTTGAATAATTTTAATTTTAAAAAATAAAATTTATACTAAAAAATATAGGCCAGGGAAAAAATGTTTTTTTGGTTGAAATTTCTATGCATCAAAGGGTTAAATGATAAAACAAAGAAACAACTAACCAATCGATCGATCTTAGCAATCAACTCAACTTTAGCGGCTTCGATACTTTTTTTGGTGCCAGTTATCTTGACCTTGCAAGATGTAATGTGGCCATTAACATCTGCATCACTGATGTTAAGAGCAGAAAGAGGTGGGAAAACGATCCTAACTCCATGGGCCTCGCATATCCTATTCACTTCAATGCCTCTCCTGCCTATAATCTGGCCCTTAAAACGGTAAGGAACGTCTAATTCAATCGTTTCTTGGTTTTCCTGAAGGAGTATAGACTATAGAAATAATAGAAAACTAAGAATATTACAGTTTATCTTCTAAAAAAAATAGAATCGGTTCTCGCTTATCTAAAACAGAATATTCACATAAATTATGATTATTTTATTATTACATGACTGACTTGAACATGTTCCAGGGATTGAAGATTTTCTGTCACAAAATCGATGGCCCTCTGAACATCAACCCTCGGCCCATTTAGGCTAATCGTTAAATGATTCGTTGATACACTCGTAATTGCTTGGCTGACTTGCTTAATTTTGAAAGTGACACTTTTAAATCGATTGTTCAAGTTTATGTTAGATCGATTCAGACTGGACCATACGTCTTTGGATAACGTTAAGGTGTGTTGCATAGGTATGCAATCCTAAATTTTAGGAAAATAGTGTGTAAGAATAGTGTACATGAATAATATTCCGTTACTACTAAATTGAGCTGACCATGGTAAGGACTAGTAAAAACAGTTGTAGGCTAAAATGCTCACTTGCCTTTAAAGCTTATATATTATAAGAGAATTATTAACATAAGCACTATATAGCAACAGGGTGGACAAATAAAAATCGATTTGATTTAAATAACCTTTTGAGTATTAAAACTGTAATAAAAGGAATTTTTTTATAATTTAAACTAGTTGGCAAATCAATGATTTTTTTTTAATGTTTACAATATTTCACTTGTCTTTTGTTAGTACATCATTCTAACAAAAACACATACAAATGATATGCTTCAGAAAAAAATATTGATTTAATATACAAATAGGACACATAAGGAAATATTGGAAAAAATATAATATTATTTAAAAAAATTTATAGCTAAATTTAAATAAAGGTATATAAATAACAATAAATATGGATTAAAATATGATTATTTAAAACGTTAAATAAAATATGGTTCATAAGTGAAAATTTAATCGTCTATGTGATTGCACTTTAAAATTCAGTGCTTGGGATTAAATCTTGATGAATATTAAGCAAAACTAAACCATTTGATTTGGTAATTCAAAGAAATGTTTTTATTCCACTTAATGAAAAGGTTTTCATTTGTGCTTGTGCTTATTGGTAATGTAGCCAAAATATATCGTGGTTTTAATATATTTGGAACAAACTCCAAAATATTTTTTAACTATGCAATGCTTCCATTGCGTTTCTCGAAATATTATCTATTAGAATTAATCTTCCGGATTTAAATTAAAAAATCAATTGGCCTTTAGATAATTAATATTCTCTGAATAAAATTCAGCCAAGTATATAATTTTTTTGAGATCAGGATTTAATATTTTCAGAATTTATAGGCAATAAAATTTGTAAATTAAATTGCGGCATTTCGCGAACCACAAATCTTTCATGAATTTGAGTTAAGAATTTGTCCAAAAGTTGAATAAAAACCGTTATTTTATAATAGTCCACAATTGACACCACATTTATATTGAAACGATTCGTTTGTCTTGGGTCAAATCGAGGTTTGCGTATCTCAAAATCATATCCGCCACCCATAGCAAAATTCAGCTTATAAATTAATTCAAAAAATATATAAAAGGCTTTCTTTCATGAATTGCGTTTAGGTTTTTATTTTAAATATTGATATTTTTTCCTTGTATATTAATATTTTATACCGCGAAAGATAATTTCCTACATTTTTTTAAAATACTGATGGATATAAAAAAAATTTGCCAACCAAAAAGACCTAAAAGTAATATAACTTAATATAAAAATTATATAACCCCCAATAATAATTACAAAAAATATAAAAACGAATTATGTCTTATTACAATCTTCATCATATCTGATTCCTGTTTTCTGCCGTATATAATAAATTGCTAAAGTATAATTCTATAACTATGATGCAAAATTTCAAGAGTGTACGAAATGTTCAGACATTCAAAGAGACAAAATGTTCTTAATAGAATTATTTCTGAGACTTCTTGTGCTACAAGAAACTGCAAAACATGCCCGACAGATGGAGTCTACATCAAGCGGTTGCCTCATTTTTAGATCTAGAAGAGCCTATTTTGAGTGCCCTTGGAGAAATATCGGAGGTCTGAACCAAATATTTCATTTGAAGCAGATATATTAGATTCAATAAGACAACCGATTTTTTTTGTATTGAAGTGTGTAAATACATTATTTAATTACACAATATTTTTCAAAAGAACAATATGAATTTGGCGGAGACCATGAGTTTAAAGTTATTCATCTCCAAAATGATGAAGATTTTTGGATTTTGTAACCTTATAAATAAAAATTTAATATAAAGATTCCGTTTGCTTCAGAGCAAATATGCATGTCCTACGAATTTATTTTATAAAAAAAACTATAAAGATGTTGTATATTTCATCCATTCCATTGTTGGTTGAAACATATAAAGCACATCAAAAAAAATTAATCTAATTTTACCCCTGAATTCCAATAATTAATAAAATCTAATGTTTAATAAAAAAAGAAAAAGTTGCTGATCTAAAAACTGTTAAAATATTTTCCTGATTCTGATAAATATATTTATTATATTTAATCAAAGATCTCAAATGTCTTATATTTAACTAAAATTGTGATTTTATTTTTTTAATAAAGATATTTTTTGAATAAAGAACGTTTTAGAGTAATTTTAGAAAATTAAATTTAATATAATGTTCCAACTCCACTTTTTAAAAGGTATAAAAATAAGTTTTCTAGCAAAATATATTAGTTATAATAATTTAATTTTTAAAATAAAATAAAAAATTAAATTGGAATATGTGGATATAGAACACTTTAATCCTCGGAGAACAATGTGATAAAAAATTGATTCTTTATAATGATGATAGTAAATATTTAGATAATTTGTTTATATAATGCATTAGTGTTTCTAGATTCTTCGTTCCATCTTGAGTCTTGATATGAATTTTAGTAATTTTCGTATTTTGCTAATCACTTTTTTATTTATACTATTTGAGATGAAGTTTAAACTAAAATTTATAAATTCAGGCATTATATATTGTCCTAATCTTTGTGCTTTCAAAAGTTTGGCAATTCATGCTCAGGACCGCTTCTTAATATGAATGAGATTCATACCAAATATTTGAAAAATTCATTCAATATATGATTAAACTTTTTCTAGTGTTGTTAAACGACTCGTTTTGAACAGACTTTTAAAAACGATCAACTCAATAATTTATCCAGAAAAATATTATGCAGGCCTGAAAATTTTTCCCATAGATGGCACAAAAGGTTTGAACACCTATTAGCAAAATCTTGAAGCTTAGGCAATATTTTTTTGACCAAAAAATTGAGTAAACCCTTTTTAAAATCGGTTCAAATCGAGCCATTTGACAACACAATTATTTTCCTTTTATATCTAAAATAAACAGAAAACAACATATAATATCTGTAAATAATAGAATTATAAGATTCAAAAACATTTTGAATCGGAGAAAAAGAAATCTTAATGTATTTAAACGTAATTTATTCTTGAAGGGCAATTTAATCCGATATTTATTACTCAACCTAAGGCGTAGCGTTATTTTTATTTAGCCTGTAAGTGGTTTTTTCTTATTGACTAGAAAGATTCATTTATGAATTAGTAAGTAATAATCAAATATTGACCCACCTAGATATTCAGTGCTTCTATAATTTTCCTCTTTCTACCATGATGACAATCTTGGCAATTTTTTCCCCCAATAATGCATTTTTCTTTAACTATCTATTAAACGTTTTGAGCACTTAACATGTGTTAAACGCACTCTTTATTGATATAAATTTCAGAAGATTCCCAGAAGTTTGACGTACTTCACACTCAATCCGTAATATTTTTTATTTGGCTTGTAATTCGGTTATGTTTTCATTTTGTTAATAACTAAGTTTCTTTTTTGTACTTCACAAAATTGATTGAGGAAAGTACTAGTCATGCATAAAATATTAGCGCAAACCAGATATTTAGTTCTTCTCTATTTTCCATTCTAACAAAATGCCAATTTTTTTAATTTTGCGAACTTTTTCCTTTATACTATTTTCCCAATGCATAAAAAAAATTTACAATAAAATAAACACTGATAAAATTCTTAGAATAACTGCCTTTAGTCGCTTTTTAATCGTAAGGTTGTTTAAAATTTTGCTACTAATAATTATTTCCTTTATAGTGGCTATAGCTACTATACTGGTTATAGTACTCCTAAGCACTAATAAAGCAAGAAAGCATTGCTTCCAATTGTTTAGTCAATTTTAACGGATAGGATATAAAGATATGATATATTTTAAAAATCAAAATAACCACGAAAAAATTAATAATATATAATCCTAATTTTTTTATAGGGGGAGGCGGTGAAGCCCAAATTTTTATAACTCGCTATTGGATAAATGCTAGCTATGACACTGCCTAGTCTAGTTATGCTACTGTAACTTAGCCTAAAACAATTGGCTAAGGCCTAGTCTTAAAATAAATAACAATAATTAAGCTTTAGGCAAAATAGTTTACTTTTAATCCAAACAAAATTGAATAAAGCTTAAATTGGAAATCAAATCTAAATCTTAGCGGGATAAATCAAGCCGAGTATGCAACTCTACTTATAATAATGATATTATAATTGTGTCAGGTCTTATGTTCATATTTATAGAACCTTTTTTTATTCTTGATTTCAATAAAATTATTCCAGATTGAATCTTATTACACCTCACCATTTTGGTAAATGAATGAATATTATTGTCACAAATTATGCAATATTCACATCTTTCATATATAATAATTGATTGTATATGATTTTAACGGCATTATTATAAATTTTTAAAAATAAAAAAATCTCAATTATTAAAAAATTGTCAAAAAATCAATATTAAATAAAATACATCATAATTTAAAAATGTTAATTATCTTACATTGATTAACTATCATATAGAGTTTTTAAATACGAAAAAACAATTAGATCATTTATTAAAGCTTAAATTTTATTAACCAGTATAGCTTCTCGCGCCATTTGGCATCGATCCATTATGCCTGTGATCTCAATCGTGCATTTTAACTGGTCTGTTGATGATGTGTTCTCATTAGTCCTTTCTTTACGCCTATCAGGTATGTGTATTTTTACCTCGTGATCCTGACATATTTTGACCAATCGACTTCCTTTGACTCCTAGAATCATCGGGCAAAATCTGGCTTCTACTTCGAGGAGTAAAGTTATGCGCTCGCTCTTTTAATATTAAAATATATGTCAATAAAAGTTAATTATAATCTAAAAGAAAAATATTTTACTTAGTTCAACATTTACCCACTCACTAGTAAGATGAATTCTGTAAATAACAAATTATAATTAAGCTTTTTATTATATTAAGGAATATTTCAAGGCATTGCTTGGACTATTTTCTATTAACTTTTTTGCCTTATTATAATTAGCCCCCCCTCAATTATAAGTTCTGTCTCAAAGTGGCGAAAAAGAGGTAGAGCGCTACAGCTAATTTAGCCTGTCCAAACCAAGTAGCGCGATATTAGCTACCGCTACTTTTTTAAAAAAAAATTATACTAATAAATCTTTTTATTTATTGTTATAGAGTATTTTATTTGTGTATATTAAAAATATCAACATTTATATTTAAAAATTCATTCATTATGAAAAGACTATAAATATATAGTAATAAAAAATAATTATTAATTTTTTATTTATTGTATTACATTTTAATAATAAAATCATTAAATATTTTCACCCCCAAGCCTAGATCGGTGATCATTAATTAAAAGTTTAATCTAACTAAATAATTGCTCAACACTAGAAGTTGAGGGTAATGGGGTATTTAATTTTATAAATAAATATTTTAAATATGAAAAATTAACAAAAATACTCATTTGCATAATGAATTAAAAAATGAATCTAATTGGTTTTCAATATCTGTCTCACATGAACTTATTAGCCAGATATCCATCAGATTCAACAATTTTAATATTTTATACTAGTTGATTTGGGTTTATAAATTTTGAAAATATAAATTTCAAAATTAAATATTATAATTTATAATGAAATTACATTTTAGTTTTCGTGTTTAAAGATATATTTTGTTATTAGTTATAGCTAACAGAAAATATAGCACACCTCTGCTAGATATCTTACTAAAACAAAAAACTTGATTTAGTTTTTAATTATTAAAATTTTCTTTTTTTTTCTATTATAAATTATCTTAAAAAATATTTTAGTATAAAAAAGAATGTTTGCACTATAGTTTTTATTTAATATATAAACTTACTTTAAATTGCTATCATCTAAATTAATTTTATTAAGCTTGCATTTAAAATTTTTATAACAGTATAAGAGTCGTAACATGGAATATTAGTAGCATGACAAGTAAAGCTGGTGAGATAGTGGAAGTGCTACAGAAAGAGGGTAGATATATGCTGTGTACAAAAGACTAGATGATAAGAAAGGCATAAGAATGATTGGTGGTGTGATAAATGTTATATAAGATATTATTATATTTCTTACATTTTATATTAGTTTATTTGGAATATATTATCATGATGATTGACATATATTTTCTAGTGTGCAACAATAAAGTCACATGTAAGCAGGGCCAAAGCCACGGGGGGGGGGAGGGGGCAGACCCCCCCCTCCCCACAAAATTTTTTTTAGATCCCCCAAACCTGGCCCCCATAAATTTTTCCGGCCCAAATTTTTTTATATTTTTAAAATAAATTTTAAATATTTATTCAAAAAACATGTCTAATTTGTAAATTTCTTCCTATCCTGTTTTATTTTTATCCAATAATAAATCATCATTCATTCATATTTTATCATGTGCTTGTGTATAACATTATATAGGAGCTTAATTATAACGTTTAAATTGTACTTATTTCTATGATAATTACTTTATTTATAAGGTTCAATCACAATATTATTATCTTTTGAAGGTCTCTGATATAGATCTGGGTGCAAATCATAAAAAACCAGGATTTTCTGTAGCTAATCAAGTGATTACTCAAGACTTGATATATATATATGTTAGCGGCAATGTGAAATATTTTCGGCAATGTGAGGTAGTGGTAGGCAGGGTAATTTTGTTATTTCGGCAAAGTATATATTGCCGAAATAACCAGGCAATGTACACATTGCACTCAAAAAAGTTTAAAATAACGATTATGACAATTGTCCCTTTTCTATAGTAAACTTTCACTGAAATATTAATTTAACATGTTTACAAAACATATTTTTACCTATTTACTTTGAAAAAACTCAAAAAAGTTCAAAAATAACGATTATGACAATTGTCACTTTTCTATACTACACTTTCACTGAAATATTAATTTAACATGTTTACAAAACATATTTTTACACATTTACTTTAAAAATTCTCAAAAATGTTTAAAAATAACGATTATGACAATTGTCACTTTTCTATAATACACTTTCACTAAAATTTTAATTTAACATGTTTACAAAACATATTTTTACCTATTTACTTTAAAAAAACTCAAAAAAATCAAAAATAACGATTATGACAATTGTAACTTTATAGTACACTTTTACTGAAATATTAATTTAACATGTTTACAAAACATATTTTTACCCATTTACTTTAAAAAAACTCAAAAAAGTTTAAAAATAACGATTATGACAATTGTCACTTTTCTATAGTAAACTTTCAATGAAATAGTAATTTAACATGTTTACAAAACATATTTTTACCTATTTACTTTGAAAAAACTCAAAAAAGTTCAAAAATAACGATTATGACAATTGTCACTTTTCCATAGTACACTTTCACTGAAATATTAATTTAACATATTTACAAACATATTTTTACCCATTTACTTTAAAAAAACTCAAAAAAGTTTAAAAATAACGGTTATGACAATTGTCACTTTTCTATAAGTACACTTTCACTGAAATATTAATTTAACATATTTACAAAACATATTTTTATCTATTTGCTTTAAAAAAACTCAAAAAAGTTCAAAAATAACGATTATGACATTTGTCACTATTACCTAAAAAATCATCTATCAAAAGATATAGATTAAATTAAGTAAAATATAAATATATATTAATATCAATCAAAAAAATATATTTAAAAAAATTTATTAAAAAAATATATTAAAAAATATCAATCAAAAAAATTTATTTAAAAATCCTATAACACATAAGTTAAAAAAATAGCCAACAAAAGATATATCAAATATAAATTAAAAAAAATATATATTATATATTAAAAAAAAATATCAATCAAAAAAATAACAATCAAAAAAATATATTTAAAATTTATTAAAAAAAATCATATAAACATAAAAAATATTAAAAAAAAATATCATATATTTAAAAAAATTTATTAAAAAAACATATAACACAAAAAATAAAAAAAAATAGCGATCAAAATATATATTAAAACATCCAAAAAGATCCTGAATTAAATAAAAATACGAAATTTATATACAAAAATACATATATATCACCCAGATTCAAAACAAATAATATCTATTATGGTAGATATGGTGCTGATTATATTTCAGATAAATATAACAAAAGTGAGATGCCTTTTTTTTGGTCTGAAGGCTGATGTGACAAAAGATGCATCAGGTTGTGAAAACCTGAGCATAATTCTTTATATTTTATCTGGAGAAGTCCAAGAAAATTTAATAGGGATTATTAATTTACAGTGTCTTTCTGCTGAAAGCATTACTAATTGCATTTTAAAGCATCTTAATGAGTTAAATATTAATTCAACGAATATGATAAACCAGGCATATGATGGTGCAAACGTTATGTCTGGCCGAAATGGAGGAGTACAAAACGTACTACAAAAAAAATTAATAAAAAAGTTCCTTTTATACATTGCTACAACCACATGTTGCATCTTTTGGCTCAAAATTGGTATAATAATATTATCATTTCTAATTTTTTTAATTTATTCAATGCATTGCATAATTTTTTAGGCGGTTAAAGGTATTCTGTAAATATGTAGGCCATACTCTTAAGAGACTTTTAGACAAGAGGTGGACTGGTCATTTAGAAACATCTCGCATCATATATTAATTTTGAGGCTATTGGTGAAGTATTAGTTTACTTTTCTAATGGAACTATTAATTCAGAGGTTTCCACTCATGATTCTGTCGAAGCCTCTGGTCTTTTATCTCAATACGTTAATAAAAATTACGTTATATTAGCCATTATAATTTATGAGATATTAATAACAATAGATCCACTTATAAGTATCTACAGTCAGTAGGTACTTATCAAGTGGATGCTAAAAATTGTATTGATTCCACGATCAATGTATTTAAAAATAAGATGCAATAATTCTATTGATTTGATCAGAAAAACTTTAGTAAAATTTAATCTCACTCCCCACTAATCATCAAGCGCGTACGTAAAACGCCTATAAATTTCCAAGATTTTTTAGTCGAAACCAAATTACAATTTGATTGCGAAAAAGACTCCAATTGGAGTTCTTTAAAATGGAATCATTATGAAATTATTGATTAATTTGTTGATAATTTTTTAGATAGATTTACACAAGATTTGATAGTGATTATTTTATATCGGACAAAATGGCCCAATTAGAATAATTATTAAACCTAAATATGGAAACTTTACATAATGAAATGAAAATAGCTAAAGGATTATTAGCTGCAGAAGTTAAAGAAACACATAATTTTGAAAATATCCTAAATATTATGTATAAAAAAATATCATCATGCATTTAGAGAATTGTATAAATGCTACTCAGCAGCCATCATCCTTAGGGTACCAACGGCTTCTTGTGTGGCTTCTTTCTCTATAATAAAGAAAGTTCTATCGAGCACTAGAGGTTCGATGAAAGATCAAAGTAAGCAAAATTTAGTATTGATGGCTTATGAAAAAAAAATTAACACAAAATTTATCCTTTAATTCATTTATGTTAAAATTTAAAAATAAAAATCGTTGTATTATATTATAGTATTATTGTGTATGTTCATATTATAGTATTATTTTGTATTCATATAACATTAATAATTTTTTAATAAAAATAGCAAAAAATTTCTAATGCTTATTTTTTTGTTTTATTTTAAAAAAATAGTGGCCCCCTAAGTAAGCAGCTGGCCCCCTAACTGGAAATTCCTGGCTACGGCCCTGCATGTAAGTATAATTTATTTATGGCGACAAAGGATTCTCTTATGAATAAAGAAGAAAAACCAACTACTATAATTGGTAAAAGTGATAATCAAACA